AATTTAAGAGGCGAAAATTATGCAGGTGCAGAGGGTTGAGAGTTTATAATTGAAAAATAGTTGTTGCTAGGTCGCAGTTTTGATGCGACTAAGTCTGGATTATAGCAACATTTATTATACTATGGACATAATTGAGATGTTAACATGTACAAAATGATTTGGCCTTTATACGTGCTTTGTTTGACTTAGCTTTCGCAGCGCATTTCAAGAAGTATCAAGGTTCACCGAATAAAATTTTTTGATGTGCATAAATACCTGATACTAGTAGCCTTAAGCACTAGAATTTTATAAAGCTAGCTCGCATATATTCATAAATTTCAGCGTTGATCATCTAACAAGGAAGCCAAAGTTAGCGTCAAACGGGATCGATTCCAACTAAGATCAAATTAGGCTGATCATGAAGCCCTAAAATAGTTTATTAGTAAGAAAAGAAAAATGATTCCCCTCCATTGATCTGGATAATAAGTGAATCTCTTCGAGCATCATAAATTTTTATAATAATCCCTACATAGCCAAACGTTTCTTACAATGATAAAAAATTAAATGTATCATTTGGCCTAAATCATTTAGCCTGCATCGTGATAGCTATTCCATTTAGATACGACTCCTTAAATCATTAGCTTAGCTGCTCTATAACCATTGCAAAATTTTATTTTAAACAAATAGAATTCAACCGTATTTTTCCATCAAATAATGAGATGTAAATTGCTCTAAATGATTTCTATGAAACCAAATTAAATAGAATCAAATAGAATCAGTCTCAAGAATATTATTGTCTATGCTAAACTCGAATTGGGAACAAAATTTATCTCATATTCATGTTACTTAGTATGCACTCTAAAATATCGTATTGCCTATAACGTTATGACAATCGGGTCTTTGTAATAAAAGTAAAATAATAATTTAAGATTAGACCCAGAATTTTTACACAGTATTTGTAAGTAATAGTGCTATCGGTAGATAAATGGTCTTGCTGCAAGTAAATGGCAATAAAATACGATATACTTAGTATTTTATCATTAAGTATTTTATCAGCATAGTATATCTAAATTTTTTAAGGTTTTTCCAACCCTCCAGAAAGAGAATCGAATTTTCTTAACATGCTAAATCAGGTTACTTATGGAAACAATTATCCCCAGGCATCGAAGCTCGTAAGACTAATCCAGTGCTTTTTGCATCATTTCTATAAATACCATAGTAAAAAGGCAAGCATTTTCAACTAAACACTCTGTTGCTCATAATCAAATTTTCTAACTATAAACTAAGTTGTTAGAGGATAATTTTACCTTCTTGGTACTTAAGGTAAAATATATTTTAAAAGATTCACATGATAATTCTATTTATATTGGATTCTCCTCGGTATATTATGAAATATTTCAAACTCTACTTAGTTTAAAAAAATAAAATAGTGATTTTATTCAAAGGAATCAATTGGAATGGAATAACCTCGTGTATCTTGATGCAAGGCCTATGAAGATCAGTATGTGCACAAACTATTCTTCGTTTTGATTAGGTTTTCGAGATTACCAGTAAATCAGATATATGAGATATTTTCACCCTATTTTGTTTAAAGCGGTGAAGGATTGGCTAGACTTCTTGTACCTTACACGAAATAGGATGAACACATCATAAATTATTCTGTTTATCCGAGTGTTTATATATTATCTTATGTGGTGATGGTCAAACACTTCTTTCGTATACTTAACACAGGGCATGATGATGGTAGTTTATCTATACTTTACGGCCACATGGCACCTAGCCTCCTTCAGCACACATTCCGATGGTCTAATTGGAGGGCTGTTAGTCCTATTCCTGGTCAGAGAATATGAAATCTGCTTGAATTTATGTTGTTATCATAATGTTAGAAAAATCGAGTCTTTGTTATTAAAGTAAAATAACAATTGAAGATTGGACTATGAATTTTTATGCAGCATTTGATTAGGAAAGTAATAGTACTATAGGTCGAATTTTGAATCTGGAATTAAGCGAAGTATTGACAAAGATTGATTTTTACTATTATTCGCCTTAATTGACTTGGGAAAATATGTACCTATATGAATTTATATGCATAATATAGGCAATTATTTACTCCTGGAAGCAAGCAAGCCTATCCTGTAATTCATTATTTTAATTTAATATTCAAATATATACAATATATGTTGCGAATATTTATACAGTAATTGATGACTTAAACCCATAAAACGTGAGTTTTGTGAAGATTTTTAAAATTATTTTAGTCAGTGGGAGAGAAATTTCTTTTAATTTTCTTTTAACCTGACTCAAGCCGTTCAGTTATTGTTTGGTTGTGCCTATAAATTTGCGAAGTATGGTATTGTAACTGAGAAAAATAATTAAGATTTAGTATTGATGCAAATTGGGGCAAAATTTTACAATTATATTGAAGATGAACAAACTTTGGTGATTATCTTATTATTTCTCATTAGGAGTATACTCGCTATCTTAATAATCTGGTATTAACTGTTTGGATTATTTTGGCTGTAGATCCAAATTAGGCCAAAAGCTACTTGTCATGAGGACACCATTCGATTCTTCTCTCCATCAAATATTGTTGAAAAAACAATACCTCTAGAGAGCAAAGCACATACTTTTATAGAAATTGGCCTAACTAGCTCTGCTGATGTACTTTCCGACTTTCGCGAGTCTATGACATTGTCACTCCCAAGCCGGCGGCCTAGCAGCTCTCCTTTTCCTCCGTCGGCTCTCCTCTATCAAAGCGGTAGATCTGCTCAGTTGACAACCAACTATGCAAGCTCACAAGCACTTGGAAGTGATTTGGACAATGCAATGGATTACTCTGTAGAAGTTGTCCTACTCGGTAAAATGAGCAAGCTGGAAAAAACCAAGCTATCTCGGTTCCTCATTAATAATTGGAATCCAAACAGGCCTGAGTTTGCTCATGTAGAAATGGTGCCTCTCAAAGCTCATTCCAAAAGCACAAAAATAATGCCTACCTCAATAAAGAGTCCGGTAAAAACTGTAAGCGATTACGGTATAGTACGGAATAGCACTATTGGACACAACTCAATTACGGGTCAAGTTGCATCTTCAATACACACTGACGATGACCTACAGAAGGCAGCACATTCAATCCGGCCTGGAACTTACAATTTGCTAGGCCTTGAGGGGGAGAACAGTTCGACACGGCTTCATTTAGGAGAGATCTCTTTGCAGCCCGCTTCAATTAGCTTAATTACACTTTCTACAACTTCCACAGGAACTGTGGAAGCCAAGGTCTATGTGCTACATGAGGCTCGTCTTGTGCACATGCTGTACCAGGTGCCTCAGATCATGTTGCTTACATTATCTGAGATCTTTGTGTGTATTCCTGCCATGACTTTTGCCTATTCTGAGTCTCCTGCTGGCATGAAGACGACTGTGCAAGCGGTCAATTTGGTGACAATCTTTATTGGTAATTGTCTCGTTATACTGGCAGCCTCCGTACCGGGCCGGCAGACGGACCGTGTGCAAGAGTTTCTTCTTTTCGCGGGACTCGCAATAGCCTGTGCTCTTGTCACTTGGCTGCTGGTGCGCCGCTATCGGGCTAACCAACAACGTCGGGCAGAACGAGAAGAATTTATTCGACTTCTTCATTTAAAGGCGGCAGAAGAGGCGGCAGCCTCAGCACTGGCAGCATCTATTCCAGAGGATCAGGGGCAACACAAGCGGGGAAAGGCGGTACAGGAGGAGAATGAGGGAGAGCAATTGGGCCATCAGTTGGTTGAAAATGAGCATGCTTCCTTGTTAAGGCCTAGTTCTCAAGCACCTCAAATAGCCGAAGTTGTATGGAAAGAAAAGAGTAAAGCAGATCCTTCCGAAACGGGACGAATCGGAATCGCGGAAGTCATCTCAGTATGCCGAGAAGAGCCTGTTAAGAGAACCTTTGACCATAAAAAGTCAAGCCAAGTTTCACAGGCCTCAGGTGGCAGTCCGCTGCTTCTCCAAACCCAGCGGAGCTTTATCATCCTTGGCAGAAGCGAACAAGGCCATCCCTCACGGCCAGGTCGAGCTGACTCTCTACTTGCTGAAGCTCGGAAATTTTCCTATACTTCAGGGTTGCATCAATCCGTCTGGCCGAGTTGTCAGATAATAAGTCCATCTAAAAAATTGTCACATTCAGCCGGGTCACCATGTTTCTCGGGCACTACTTCGGCTACATCGGCAGCTCTCGCCAGTGGCTTAGCGACAGTTGGTGTAGTCACGAGTAATAGCAACCGACGCCGCAGTCGAGGAACAAGTTTATCCGTCTGGTCACCACATATTGCTCGCATGGAACCAGATGCTGGTGGAGCACTAGCCAGATATGACAGCTTCTATTCAGTTGGCGAGCAGTCGGTGGGCTGGCGAGTTGGAGAATTGGCTTATGCTGAGCCCGGTTTCGGACTGGATATACGTTCGTTAGCCGAGAAACACCTTTGCTTGGAGCAAGAGAGAAGCTGACAGTGCTACAGTCTTATATGAGTTCTTTGTTGCACGAAGGGCGCTTGCATACAGTAAATGCTTTTTCTATTCATTAAGCGCCGTATAAGGACTAGGAATACCGAGCACAATCTCATTCTTCTTCATACATTTTGATGACATTTATTCAGCTCATATGCTGAACTACAATATATCTAGTAGCAGATTTTCAAATATACTTAAACATTACTTTAAACAGTGGCATATTAGAAGACTATTGAACAAATTACGTAAAAGTGTTATATATTATTTTGTATGCCTTTTCATATGCGTAACCATGAAGCTAAATAGAAATCTAATTATATTTTATTAGTGATCAATACAATAACCCTTCTTTAAATTGAAGTTTAAGCTATTTCACTTTTTATGACTCAATTAAACAGCACGATATGGCATGCTGTATAAAAATGCGATATCAACTGCACAATAGTTATTTTTCTCAATGTAACATCTGAGCTAAACGCTTTTACTTGATAATTTCGCTATAAAAACTTGTAAAACTAAAAAATCTTGCCTTTGAACAAGGTTTTTCCTATCATATTGTTGTTGACTTGAAGTGCGCAATTCTAATTACT